AGCATTGGTTGCTTCAAATGAAAGCGATGTATCGTACGATTGAAAATTTCCAAACTCATTCGGATCCATGCAGCGCGTTTTTGCATATATATATCGATTCTACATTCTCAAGGACAAAGGCTCAGCGCGGTCGAAGGGTCAACTTACCGTAACATAAAAAATGGTACGCATTTGCTCATATGGGCCCTTAATTAGCAGCAATTCTCGGAAGAGATATGGGCCCTCAGCAGCAAACAGGATCTACCGCCAAAAGGCACGATGGCCTCACTGAATCCATTTCTGGATAGCTTTGGATTGCTTCGGGTTGGAGGCCGCCTCCAAAATTCCGAATTTGACTACGACGCGAAGCACCCGATCCTGCTTCCTAAGGGACATCTTGTCACTGTCTCAATTATCATATTTTTTCAACGATTGCTCGGATTGCTTCTGCAAAAATTCTGGCCTATTGGTGGACGTAAATATATTAAGGGCATCATTCGCAAATGCTTGCGTTTGAAGCCAGTGCTAAGGGAACATATCATGGGAAACTTGCCAGCGGATCGCGTAAGGACTAATCCGGCATTCCAAACATCGGTGTTGATTTTTGCGGACCGTCGTATTACAAGTCGGAGGTCAGAAGCAGGCCTCCTATCAAATGTTACATCTCTGTCTTCGTATGCTTTAGCACCAAGCAACTCATTTGGAAGTCGTTCGGGATTAGTCTACAGAATCCTTTCTGGCAGCATTAAGGCGTTTTATAAGCCTGCGTCTCAAACCTCGAATCATCTCGTCAGACAACGCCACAAATTTTGTAGGAGCAAAAAATTAGCTTTCGGAACTTCGGCAAAGGCTCCTCCTCACTGTTAAAGCAGCAAAATATCATTTTCATCGCATCGTCGGTACCTACAGTTTTACTCTTAATGAAATTCAGACCTTGGCTTTGTTAAATTGCCGACCGCTTTATGCATTTACAGAAAGTCTCGATGATCTGGATGTGCTCACGCCAAACCACTGTCTCAATGGAGCCCCGAAAGCTGCTTTCGACGATTCAGACGTGACGCATCTCCGGGTGAACCTACTTAATCGATGGCAGCGGCTGTGTCAAATGAAGCAAGCGTTCTGGAGAAAATAGAGTACGGCGTACCTCTCGATTCTTCAGGAGCGGAACAAGTGGCGGTCATCATCTCCAAACAACTAACATCGGAGCAGAGCCCAGCCGATTAGCTTCTTGCCAAATAGCACTAAGTATCGGGTATAATAATATTAATAATCTATGCCATGCGAATTAAAATAGCACGAAGACTGCAAACGATAGAACTTCCCTACCCAAATCCTTACCAATTGACTGTAAATGATTATCCGTAATTGTAATTATAGCTATAAAGAACATTTTCACAAAAAGGTTCACAAGAATCAAAATACAAAACGAGGGGGAAAATTGTGATTTGCTGCGGACACCGCAACTCTACATTTGTACCCGATACTTAATCAGTATGGCTCTCCTCCGGCAGACGCCGCTAATATTAAACGACACGACAAAGAGTGCGTGCGAGAGAGACAGAAAATCAGTCTGAGCGTTACGTCGGGCGCTAAAAAGCCACTGCAAATTGATTTGTTCCTTTTGGCTATAAAAATAATCTGATCTGATCCAGATTCAGCAGTCTGATAGATATGGTCATTATCTATGATTGTGCGATTTAGTTTTCTCGAATCTGCAATATTGTCGATGCAACAGATGTTCGTCCTTTGTGGTGGCGGAAGGTGGTGGGGCGAAATTTTGAGATATACCTTTTATAGTGAGATCTAACAGAAGTGTGGATAATAAATTTGGTTACTCTAGCCTTAATAGTCTCTGAGATTTGTGGATGCCTCAGATTTTCGTCCTTTGGGGCGAAAGGGGGTGTGTCGAAATTTTGATACAAAACGGTAAAGGTCCGATATCACAGGAGTGTGGATACCAAATTTGGTTGCTCTGGCTATTATAGGTTCTCAGATCCTTGAACTCATATTTTGCAATTGGCAAAACCGACCATGAAACCTCTGTGTTAGAGAGAGACAGAGCGAGAAAGAATAAAATTGTTTTCTTAATTCTGGCTATAATAATTATACGATCTGGTTTAGATTTTACACTCTAGAACATATAGTCATCTGCTACGATTCTGCGTTTTTAGTTTTCTCGTATCGTCGAAATTGTGGATGCCACAGATTTTCGCGCTTTGTGGAGGCGGAAGTGGGCGGTGCAAAGTTTTGAAATATACTTGTAGCAGTGACATATTACAGAAGTCCGGATATAAAACGTCGTTGCTCTAGCTCCTATAGTCTTTGAGCACTAGGCGCTGATAGGGACGGACAGAAAGACAGACAGGGCTCAATCGACTCGGCTATTGATGCTGATCAAGAATATATATACTTTATGGGGTCGGAAAAGATTCATTCTGGACGTTACACACATCCACTTTCACCACAAATCTAATATACCCCAATACTCATTTTGAGTATCGGGTATAAAAAACCATGCCACTTTCGGCCCCTTGCAGAATGTTCAAAAATAAACATATAGTACACATTCACTCATGTACCAAAAAAACCGTTCTCTTAATACATCACATAAAGTAGATAAGTTATGACTGTTCGGGTGTGAACAAAGATCTATAACCCATTAAAAGATACTACAACAAAACACAAGTGGAGGAAACATTTAACCATGCAGTCCTAAAATTACACTAAAGTAAGCATGCACTCAAATAAATAACCGCAGTAAAATGTATCCTTTGCGTTAGACTAACGATAATTATAAGGAATGTGCCGAAAAGAAACTGCACACTTTGTTTTTCTTATAACTTCGATGTTTTCGTTCCGATTTCAATTTTTATTTTTTTTTAATTTTAGAGAAAAACATTAACTTTCAATTTTGTTAAATAATTTAAAAAAATGTCTAGCCTCTTATTTTTGATCGAATTTTTTGCTTAACACCGCTCATTAAGTTCTGCACACACTCTTTGGTAATCCTACGGGTCGCACGCATCCAGTTTTTTTTCATATCTTCCATGTTTTCGGAGAGACTACCATCCTTCTTTAAATTTCTTTTAACTAATGCCCAATATCGCTCTATTGGCCGGAGCTCTGGGCAATTTGGTGCGTTCTCCTCTTTTGACACGAAATTGATGCCTTTTGAGTCAAGCAGCGCTAACGTTGAGCGGGCATAATGCGCGGACGCCAGATCTGGCCAAAATATTCTTGACACATTGTGTTTTTCATAAAAAGGTATAAGACGCTTTTTCAAACACTCCTTCATGTACACATCGGCGTTGATTGTCTCCTTTGTGAAAAAAGCACTGCTTCTTAGGCCACAGGTGCAAATGGTCTGCCATATTAGCACTTTCTCCCCAAATTTATCGACTTGAATTGTTGACACCGACTCGTCAACAGTTCCACCTTTAACTTTTGTATAAAACTGAGGGCCGGGTAAAGTTTTCGAGTCCAATTTGACATAAGTTTCGTCGTCCATAATAACGCATTGAACTGCATCATTGAGCAAGCGATCATAAAGCTTTCGCACTCTCGTTTTGCCGACTTCTACTTGTCGCAGACTTTTTTTCGGAACTTTTTGTTTTTGTATGTCTTTAAATTATGGCGTTGCTTTTTTTTTTAACCATACTCATACTTGTTCGCGCTTTTTTTGCCAATTCTCGAACGAACATCGTGTTATGTTTGTGGATTAAGGCTAATGCTTTTTTATCAATATTTTGATCCCTTGGACCCTTTTTTCTCCCAGTTTTTGGTAAATCTTTTAAAGAACATGTCTCTTCAAACTTAATTATAATATTTTAAACACTATTAACACTAACTTTGTAGCGTTTAGCTAATTGTCTGTAAGACACACCTTTTTCTGTGCAATAATTGTGCAAAATTTTTTTGCGAACTTGCTCTTTAAATCGAGGCATCCTTGAAACTGATAAGTGAATAGTGAAAAATGAACATGCAAACAAGGCAGAATTTCTCAAGCTTTCTAACGGTACATCGAACGGCATGATCGAAAGCTCGCACTGCGAGAAATTGACGATTGTAAGTGTGCAGTTTCTTTTCGGCACATTCCTTAGAATACAAAATTTTAACTCATGCCTTATTGTCAAATCACATACAAGGATCTGATTTTAAGAATAAAATTTAGTATGAATTTACAACTCAACTCGCATATGTCTAGAATTTTCTTTTAAGGTCTTAACACTCGGTCTGTGGCTGGGGGTATTTAATGCACTCAAACCCCTCGTAAAAGTCTACCTGAAGTCCCTACTCGGGAGCTACTTGTAACGAACTTATTTCAGGCTGAGGTAAGCTGGGTCTGTACAAGTCACATCCGTGTTTCGAGTGAGGGGCACAGAGCGTAGTCATATCCGTGTAGGAAGTCAGATTAAAACGCTGAAACTATCTCCTGTACGCAATCAATCCTCCGCTTTGTAAGGGCTTTGTGCTGTGTTTTTCTGTTACAGTTTTTACGGGTGTCGGTGTATACGCGCCAGTTGCCATCCGTGGCAAAGTCTAACGAACTTGTCAGTCCGTTTTTTTTAGTAGCCACTTTTTTTGTCACAAGAGAATCCATTGTCGCCAGCAGCATTGGCAGAAATCAGCGTCAGCACCTTGCAACCAGGAGCCGACAGTCACGACAGGTACTTTTGGATGGGGCTTTGACTCCGGCCCAGCCACGAATTTCGGACGGCTATATAACCGTCGTTGTTGACTTCGCCAGTTTGGAGCGACGTGTGTCAACTATGTTGGTGTTAAAATGTCTGCGTGCCGTGTCTAAATGAAAAAATATAGTGAAATTACTGTCATTTGGATAATTATGCTGAAGGAGACGTAGTGGAACAATGATAATACTCAGTCAGGATAGAAAAACATCATCGATCTTTATTTTAATAGTTCTTCATAGATTTTTATATTTAAAATAATTAATATTAATTATTAATATTAATATTAATTATTAATATTAATATTAATTATTAATATTAATATTAATGCATGTGTATATTTTTATAAAAACATTTTCCTACCAAAGTTAAAGTTTAGAAACTGGCTTTAGTCCTAGTATGTAGAAACATTGACGCAATACTGCTGCAGTTGCCTCGCACATTAAAACTCGACTACGATTTACTTCAATTATCTCTCCATCTTTGTTTTTCTTAATGCAATAGCAACTGTCATAAAATTCTGTAAATACAGTGCATACCTCATAGCAAAACTCACAAAGAAAATGAAGGAAAAGGTCTTTCGAGCACTTGATCATTATGTCGTGCATCTTTAAAAGGGTTTTTGCCAGCTTCCACTCCTTTTCGTGATTCAAAACAATCTCGACGGTATCTAAAACCTTTAGCAAGTAACAGAAGTCATCACCTAAGTTACGTGCAATAGAGCAAATACGTGTGTATGTGTATAATAAATAAACTGCAGTATTACCGCGGTCGTCTAGCATCTTGTCAAATGAAAACACGTAGTCACTGATACGGTTGTGGCATAAATCTGAATATTTTATGCAACCATAAGCCACTGCCTCTTGTGCTTCAAATAGTTCCTGAGCTGTGAGAATTTCGTCGCGGCCTCGACTGCGTAGTTGCTCTAATGAACGTTTCATTCCCTCATTAAGAAGATCTGATAGTTTAACGGTATCACCAGAACGGGTCTTAAATTTCTTTCCATCCTCACCAAGAACCACGCCAAACTGTACATGGTGAACACGGTGGGCGGTCGGATTGAGAATACAACAGCGCTCCGCCGCTTTAAAAATGGTATTAAAATGTGTACTTTGTCCGGAGTCTACAACATAAATTATCCATGTGCAATGTTCCTCTTCTATGCGGTGGCGTATAGCAGCCATATCAGAAGTGTCATAGGTGAAACCACCATCCGACTTTACGATTGTTAGAGGTATGCCACTCCTGTCTTCGTTTGGCCACATGATTTGACGGCCCTCATCATGTTCAAGCATATTTTTGTTTCGTAAAAAATCAACCACAGATAACATACGTGATTGATAAAAGGATTCACCACGTTCTCTAAGTGTTACATCTAAACGGTCATATATAGCCTGAAATTCCTGTCGCGAAACATCACAAATAAGCTGCCATGCTTTTCTGGAGTTTGGTTCACCGCTTTGCAGTGAAACTACTCGATTGTAAGCGCGCTTCTTGAACTCTTCCTCCGTGTCAAAGCTGTAACAAAAAGAGAAAAGCTAAAATCAAGTTCTATAAAGGATAATAAATAATAAATGATTTGTAAAGCTGTAGATTTTTTTTAGAAGCCGGGAAAAGCATTGAAAAAAGTAAATTGATCAAGATCAGAATTTTGCATAGCTCCGTATTTTCATTCTAACCTCGAGAAAAACGGAGCTATTTTTTAAATTATCAAAATACATATACGGAGTTTCCAAAGATTTTTATTCCAAAAGAATTCCAACTAAGTTTGACTTATAGAGGCACACCAGGCTGTCTCTGTTGGTTCTAAAAACTCTTGTTGTAGTAAAGTGTTTTCAATGATTATTGAATTCCTGATTGAAATTCATCAGCATAATTAAGATTTTACTTTTTATACCCGATACTCAAAATGAGTATTGGGGTATATTAGATTTGTGATGAAAATCGATGTGTGTAACGTCCAGAAGAAATCGTTTCCGACCTCATAAAGTATATACATATTTTCTTGATCAGCATCAATAGCCGAGTCGACTGAGCCCTGTCTGTCTGTCCGTCCGTCCGTCTGTCCATCTGTCCGTCCCTATCAGCGCCTAGTGCTCAAAGACTATAAGAGCTAGAGCAACGACGTTTTATCTCCGGACTTCTGTGATATGTCACTGCTACAAGTATATTTCAAAACTTTGCCCCGCCCACTTCCACCCCCACAAAGGGCGAAAATCTGTGGCATCCACAAATTCAGAGATACGAAAAAACTGAAAGCGCAGAATCGTAGAGTATAATTATATCTTCCAGAGTGCAAAATCGGAACCAGATCGTATAATCATTATAGCCAGAATCAAGAAAACAATTTCATTCTTTCTCGCTCTGTCTCTCTCTAACACAAAGGTATCATGGTCGGTTTTGACAATTGCAAAATATGAGTTCAAGGATCTCAGAACCTATAAGAGCCAGAGCAACCAAATTTGGTATCCACACTCCTGTGACATCGTACATTGGCCGTTTTGTATTGAAAAACACCCACAAAGAACGAAAATCTGTTGCATCCACAATATTGAGGATACGAGAAAACTAAAAATGCAGAATCATAGATAATGACCATATCTATCAGACTGCTGAATCTGGATCAGATCATAATTTTTATAGCCAAAAGGAAAAAATCAATTTGCAGTGGCTACGCAGCGCCCGACGTCACGCGCAGACTGATTTTCTGTCTCTCTCGCACGCACTCTGTGGCGTGTCGTTCAATATCAGCGGCGTCTGCCGGAGGACAGCCATACTGACTAAGTATCGGGTATAAATGTAGAGTTGCGGTGTCCGCAGCAACTCACAACGTTTTAAGAAAACTCTAGTCAAAGTGTCATTCGCTGTCGGCGTAAAAATCCGTCTTGATCTACAAATTTTACTTACACCTAGTTTTACTAACAATTTTTTCGAAGTTCTAATGATGGTTTGCTATTAATGGTGTTAAATTAAAGATACAAAGCAATAGCTTAAGTTTTTATGTACATAAGTAATATGATATGCCATTTCGGCTATTGTAAATGGCTATAATTGTATAATAGACCAGCGCGCTCACTACACGATGACGGGTGTGTGAAAGACGGGGAATGAGTAAGCGCGTGGAAGGCGTAACTACTGCAGTTTCATTATTTCTTCGGGCTATAATGATAATAGTCCAATTATAATATAATAAAAAAGTAATATAATGATAATGATCCACATTCGGCACTCTGGTTTAGATATGGTGTCTCTAGATTCTCTATGATTCTGCGTTTTTAGTTTTCTCGTGTCTTCAAAATTGGTTGCCACAGTTTCTCCTATAGTCCTATAGTCTCAGAAATCTAAGCGCTCACCGGAACGAACGTACAGATTAACATGGATATATTGATTGGCCATACAGATTGGCACAGATCAGCGGTTAATCCATTTTTCGAAATAAATTAGTTTAATAGCAAGCAAACTATTTGTTCAAACATGAACATATTATCGTCAATACAATGCCACTTTTGGACCCTTGCAGAATGTTTAAACATAAATAGATTATTGTACCCATTCACTCATGTAACCACACCGAACTCTAAAGAAATCACATAAAGTAGACAAGTTATGACTGCACTGGTGTAAACAGAGATCTGTAACCCATTAATACGACAACAAAACACAAGTGGAGAAAACACTTAACAAATGCGGTCCTAAAATAAAACTAATGTAAGCATGTACTCAAATAGACGCCCCCAGTGAAGTGTATCCTCTGCGTAGGTCTAACGATAATTATAGACTACCAAATTGTACCTCCTACCTCATTGTCAAATCACATATGAGGCTCTGATTTTAAGAATAAAATTTAGTTTGAATTTACAACTCAACTCGCAAATGTCTAGACTTTTCTTTTAAAGTCTTAACACTAATTTTTGAAAACACCGATTTGAGCATAAATATAGTACACAGACTTGCTTGGAACTTCGTAATTTTCATAGAAACCCTTTTGCTCAAATGCTTCAATGATATTGATCGATTTTCCTCATATCATTAAATCCTTGATCATCCTCATTCAAAGAAATTGAGTTGAATACTTGCTGATGAGCTTTTGACTCCATAAAACTGCCCGATTTTGGTAGCCTTATTGGTCCCTTCAGATTTCGTCATTGAAGCAAGAAGCATACTTTCATTTCACAATTTTTGTTTAGATCGGTTCTCAAAAAATAAATTTAATTTTAGAAGCATCCCAAAGCGAGACTGGATTACACGCGAATGTCGAGAAAACAAATTGGATTAAATATTAACGAGTATTGAAGTGTATTCAATTTTTGGCGAAGGTGGATGTGTGTAACGCCCAGAAGGAAGCGTTTACTACCTCAAAGTATAAATTGTAATAAATAGCCGAGGCGACAAAAGAATGTCTGTCTGTCCGTTCGTCCTTCTTGTTTGACGCCTAGTTCTCAGAGACTACAGCAACCCAATTTTGAATCCAGACTGCATTGATATCACACTTAATCAAGTTAGTTTTAAGATTTTTCCACGAGTTTCTCCAATTTCAGTAGCTACGATAGCGTAGCCACGCGCTTTCTCTCTCTCTCACACACTCTTCCTGCTGCAGTTTGCGCCCCCTATCGGAAGGAAGCGAAATGAAACAATTGTTGGTGAGAATAGAAAAAAATAGACAAATGTAAATAAAAAATAATAAAAAACGAGGGGGAACGTTGTGAGTTGCTACTAAGTCAGTATGGCTCTCCTCCGGCAGACGCCGCTAATATTAAACGACACGACAAAGAATGCGTGCGAGAGAGACAGAAAATCAGTCTGAGCGTGACGTCGGGCGCTGCGTAGCCAGTGCAAATTGATTTGTTCCTTTTGGCTATAAAAATGATCTGATCTGATCCAAATTCAACAACCGGATAGATATGGTTATTCTCTATGATTCTGCGTTTTTAGTTTTCTCGAATCTGCAATATTGTGGCTGCAACAGATTTTCGTCCTTTGTGGGGGCGGATGGGGGTGGGGCGAAATTCTGAGATATACGTTTTATAGTGAGATCTAACAGAAGTGCGGATACCAAATTTGGTTACTCTAGACTTAATAGTCTCTGAGATTTGTGGTTGCCCCAGATTTTCGTCCTTTGCGGGGGCGGAAGGGGGTGTGGCGAAATTTTGACACAAAACGGTCAAGGTCCGATATTACAGGAGTGTGGATACCAAATTTGGTTGCTCTAGCTCTTATGGGTTCTGAGATCCTTGAACTCATATTTTGCAATTGGCAAAACCGACCGTGAAACCTGTGTGTTAGAGTGAGACAGAGCGAGAAAGAGTAAAATTGTTTCCGTGATTCTGGCTATAATAATTATACGATGTGGTTCTGATTTTGCACTCTGGAAGATATAGTCATCTTCTACGATTCTGCGTTTTTAGTTTTCTCGTATCGTCGAAATTGTGGATGCCACAGATTTTCGCCCTTTGTGGGGGCGGAAGTGGGCGGGGCAAAGTTTTGAATATTTTTGTAGCAGTGACATATCACAGAAGTCTGGATCCAAGACATCGTTGCTCTAGCTCTTATAGTCTTTGAGCACTAGGCGCTGAAGGGGACGGACAGACGGACAGACATAATCGACTCGGCTATTGATGCTGATTAGTGTTGTGTTGCTCATGAGTGAGTGAACAAAAAAGAGTTGTTCACTTAAGTGAGCAACTGAACATGTTCCTTCCAAGTTGTTCTTTTTTGTTCACTTGTTCTTTGTTGTTCACTTGGTCTTTTTTGATCACTTGTTCTTTGTTGTTCACTTGTTCATTTTTACTCACTTGTTCATTTTTACTCACTTGTTCTCTACTCACTTTTTGCGCAATTTTGCTCCTCAAAGGGCATTTTGCGATCTGGCAGCTTTGCTCATATTTGCGTTTACTTCACACTTTTTATATTACGGGCAAAGCTGTTTAGACTTTTGAAAAATTCACTGTCGCTTATTCGGAAGTATAGTGAGATTTGGAACCATTTCGAGGAAGTTGGACGCCTGGAAGCCAAGTGCAAGTATTGCAAATCTATTTTGAGTTGCAAATCTCAAAGCAACTTAAGCCGCCATTTAAAGAGCAAGCACCCGGCGTCTGTGGAGCCCGTTATCCGGCAAAACACCGATGGCCCGATCGCTGTGCAAAGTGCGCAACCAAAAATAACAAGCTTTGCTGAAAGGCCTGTACCAGCGAGCGAAGCGCAGCAGATTGATCTGCAACTTGTACGGATGATCGCCAAGGGTCATCACGCCTTGCGCTTGGTCGAAGAACCAGAATTTAAAAAATTTATTCAAGATGTGTCGCACTCCCCAAACTATAAGCTTCCGACGAGGAAAACATTAACCAGCTCCTTGATTCCCAAAATTCGTGACGAGTACACTGGGACGATAATAGAAGAACTACGTGCGGCCACAGCGGTGTGCTTAACTACAGACGGTTGGACATCTATAACCAACGAAAGTTATCTGGCTGTCACAGTACATTTTATCGATGAGGAATCAACGATGCTGACCTCCTATA